ATAAACACTTGTTTTAAAGTCACAAAATAGTTTCCCTTACAACACCCTGTTTTATCTAGTAACACCTTAGCATCTCAAGCTCTACTCTCTATTCCACCTTAGTTCCCGGAAAAAAGAAAACCACAGGGAAAAAGAATCAAACCAGCAACCTCCCCACCTTGATCCATATCTGCTCTTTTATCTGAAACTTTCCACATTCGATGTCTCTCTTGATAATTTGGTTTGTGTATACAGGAAAGCAGTTTACTCCTCTTTTTCTTTCTTGCCACCTATAGAAGATTAAGGAGACTCTTCTGACTGGGCGGGCTGAAAACTGCAACTGGAATTGTAAATAACTTCAGCAGAACAGTCTTTTCTTTCCACAGTTTGAAGGAAAAAATATTTTGGCTACAACTATATAGTGGTTTCTTTCATGCAAGCGGAAAAGTTTTTGGATTCTCAGATTGAGTCCTTGAGGTTTTGCTTATGAATATATCTCCTGAGAAGTTCATTTTTTCCCAGGAGCTGACAAGGCAGCAGCTGAACTACCAGTGGTTGCTTCGTGTTGCCTTCCTCTGCACATCCTTACCTCCCTGCTCATCTCCTCTCTCTCCCTTAACTTGCCCATGTTCTTTGACTCCGGTGTCAGAATTGACCTCATCAAATAGTGTCACCTTCTTGTCCTTGCTTCAGAGGAGTGACGTGAACTCGGGTTGTCCATGACAAGGCAATGTATTCTGCTCCCACGATTGCTGAAGAAGTGGTGGTGGGTGGGAGCTTGGGCAAGTGGACTTCCTCGCTCCTGTCCTCTTGACTCGCCGAGTGTAAATATCTGAGATAACAAAACAGATCAGAAGGCATTTTACCACCTTAGTAAGTGAAAGATGGGAAAGGGGTGAAAGAAAAGGCAGGCCTTTTCCCATCTACCTTGCCTTCCTCACCACCTGGATGCAAGCAGCTGGTCTGCACTGTAAATCATCAAAATTCTGGAAACGGGAATTGCCCGTCTGAGAGAAGCGTGGCCTCATTGGAGGGGTATTTGCCCAGATCTGAAAGCTCAGTCAAAATCCTCCCCCTTGTGTAAGATACAAGCCTGCTGGAGTTGTATGGCCAGCAAGGTTTTCTGTTGCTGCAGATAGGCCTGTAAGCAGGGAAAAAACCAGCAGTGTAGGCCAAGCCTGACCGCTGCTGGAGCGGACAGAGTGGCTGCCAGCACAAGACTTCCCTTGTAGCCGTCCCTTGCGCTGCAGCAGAAATCCCACACCGGATCCAACGTGGCTGTTGTCACGATTGTTGTGTTTCACACAGCTTCACAGCTCCCCTGCTGCTCTTCCAGTTCGGCTGCAGCAGAGCCAGGCTGACTCTCACCCATCCCCAAACAGCCGAGGTTTGTGCAAAGCAACTTGCTTTTTCACCAGCTGCAAAACCAAACACACAGGTTGGGGGTAGCCACAGAGCAGCTCGACTAGTCGGGAGCTGCTGCTTGCCGATCTGCATGAAGTTTCATAAGGGCCCTGTGAAACTCCTTCTTGACAAAGAAGACGGCAGGTCTGGTTTGTGCAGGTAAGAAAGAAGAGTGCTCACCCAGGCACGTACGCGTGTCAGCATGTTCCTGGCTACGTCCCTACCGGAGTCTTGAATGTGTTCATTCAGGGGTGGCGGGCCAACTTCAGAAGAGAAAGCCTCTGTACGTCTGTGCTCCTGGGGTCTGAAGTCGTCTTTGCCCTTCCTGAAGGCGCATTGTTTAAACTTCACATTTGTTTTTCTCAATGTCGACCGCATCTGTTTGTCTGTGCTAGCAAGGCAACATCATTTACCATGGTGTGGATCTCCTGTCCCTTGGAGTGTATCTCTCATGCACAGGAAAATGTAATTGCAGAGCAGCCACACAAGAACAGAGTAAAAGCTGGGAAAGGGCCCAGGGCACAGAGGAGAGGAAAAAAGGAGATAAGAGTTCGGGGATGATTCATTGAAGGATGAGTATACTTTTAAGAAAAATAATATATTTTTAGAAATATTGGAAGCAGAAGAAGAAAAATTTAGAGAAAATTAGGAGAAAATTGGAAAATCATGCATGATATATGACATCTTGAAAGTAAAAGTTGTGACTTCTGCGTTTGAGAGTTTTTTTAAGAAATTCTGGTTCTGTCTTGCTCTTACTGGAGTGCTACCAGTGTATATTCCACTCATTCACTTTGCTCCTGATATTTCCTGTTGCAACTTATTCTGCAACCACTGTCTTCTGTTTGGTCAGCAGAGTTACAAAACATCTCTCTGGGCAGGATAAAAGTGGAGCTGTCTCTATGTTGGTCTCCTGTGCTCTTCACTCCTGTCCATCCTAACAAGAACTCACATGGTTTCCTGCCCCGCTCCCTAATGACCCCCTTCCATGCTGTCCTTGCAGTTTTTCTTTGGCCTAAGGCACGTCCCCTTGGGGCAGCGTTTCCTGACCTCGCTGGGGAGGGGACAGGTGGCCCACGCCTGCCAGGAGGTGCCCCCCACTTTGCTGAGGACGAGCAATGATGGCAGGGGTACAGAAGTCATTTTAGGTGCTGTTAGTGTCGCTTCAAGGTCTTTGCTTCTCAGACCCCCTTCACCACTCTGTTTTTAGTCTCTTCATCCATCATCCACCATCTTTGTGATGGCAGCAACCAAAGACAGCTGGGGAAGAAACTCCTCTTCCCTGTTGTTCCTTTTCCTCCTGCTCTTAGCCTAAAGGCAGCGGTGACTACGGGGTCACTTCAGTCCAATGTAAACCTGTGCTCTGGTGAAAAACACCATGTGAACGTGTTGGGGCCGTGCAAGGGCTGGCCCAGGAGTGGGTAGCCAAGGAAGGACAAGGACCCTTCCAGCAGCAGCGAGGAGTCACATCGGTTGCCATTAATCCTTCTTTCATCCCCACTCTTGGGCCAAGGCGAGGCTCTGCCGGTGAGAGCCAGATGTGCTCGTCCTGCCCGCAAACGCACTGTGTGGCGGAAGGCAGCAGGCAGGAATCCATAGCTGTGCTTCCTTTTTAAACGTCTCCCCTGCATAGGTAGGGCCTGGGTTTGGCTTCTGGGCTCACTCCCTTGCTTGTGCCGGCAGCTGCGAGACCCGGCTACCTGTGTGCAACCAGGAGCACAGTGTGTGGGCTTGGCTTCTCATACGTGCCTGGCTCCTGTTTCTCTGCGTTGTGGAGCAGTGCTTCCCCTTAATTATTATGCATCGGCATTTTAGCTTGATTTTTAGAAGTGACCTGTTTTTGTTTCTAATAGCTTTTTTTTTTTTTTGCCTTAATATAGCTAAGAGATAAGTAATGATTCAAAACAGAATTCAAATGCAGATTCATAGGGCACTTGTAGGTGAGCTTTGTTTTCAGATGCCCACATCCTCAAATTCTCTAGCATTATACAGAGATTATGGCTCGGTTGCATGTTTTAATGGGCAGATAATTAGATGAGCAATGAACTTTGTGGAAAGCTTTTGTGTGATACACTGTCTATGTAAACGGATCTGTTTTGATTGAAAGGTGAGATTATTTTTTTTGACAGGTCACTTCTCCCCTTTTTACCCCTCCCCCCCAAGAAAAAGCATATCGAGGATTATGCTCTATTAAGTGATTGTTCATGTTTACTGGAAATGCTGCTTAGCTTTGACATTTGTTTAATGGCCATTTATTGTCACTTTTGGAAGGAGATGGGGTCGATGCAAGTTAGGTTGCATTCGAACTACTAAGTGCCTGAGAACTATCTTCTTATCTTCTGTCATTACTCCTTGCTTATGAAAAAAGCCTGTAACAGGAAATCTAGGCAATTTGGAGACAAGCACATGTTGTACTGTGTCAAATGGGGAACTTACTTAAACTGCTTTCCTAGAGTTTCTAAATCCCTGTAGTCACTCAGCAGCTATCAGGCTCACAGATGATTGCTAAAATGCCTGGTAGGTTGTGTGCTCCCTTGGCTGCATGCTGTCAAGGAGGAGATAGGGCAGAGGACTTAAAGGAAGGAAAGTTTCAACTTTCAGAAAGCACGACTTGCTAAGTTCCTGTCCTGGAACAGTTGCTGGAAAGTGGCACTGGGGATGCAGTTACAGGCCGTGCATCATCGTCAGCTTTGGCCTCCGGATCCAGTCCAGCTTATTTCCTATTTACATGGACACTATTTGTATAGAGCTTGGAATGGGTACAGCTCCAGCCCTTGTTCTCCTCGAGTGCCTGATATGTTTTACTTTTTTCGACATGTTACACCTTCAGCAATGTTAATGCTACAAACTGATGAGGAAGCAGAGGAGGTCATTAAGGTGGATATCTTAAGTGGGTTTTGCCTTCTTGTTGGGGTAACCATGAACCAACGGAGGATGCTGCCTGTTACTGCATCTTGGCTTTTATGTTTTGGTTCCAGGTGGTATCAATGCAACAAAGAGTATGTGTCAAAGACCCACATGTGGACAAACCTTTGCATCTTTTGCTTACATGATGTATACCCAACTTTTTTAACTGACCTCTGTGTTACTGTCTGCGCTAACCTTTAACATTTAATTGTACCAGTTGGTTGCATGAGGCCTTTACGTTCCCTTTGAAAAGCATTTTCCACGACTTCTAGTTTAAAAGTTAGTTTGATTAATATGTGGTTGTATATTACTTACATCTGTATCCAAAATTCATACATGAAATATTCTAAATAATACATCCACATGTCTTGATATGGTATATTTGATCTCGGCTCTTCTTTGATGTCTCAGCATTTTGGCATCTCTGGTAAAAGTGATTATATTAAAAGCGAGTTCAAGAAAGTGCTGAGCAAGTGAATGTATTTTGGAAAAAGAATGCATTTTGTTGCAGATTTTTAATCATCTTATTAATTGGGCTCCATGGTGGTTTGATCTCTCTTCGGTTGAGTTACTGGCCTGGGTCACAGATAAGAGAATCATATGTTGGGACACCTGATCAGAAGCAATGCTCGTGGGTCCACGTGCAGCCTTGCTGCTGGTAGTTGTGAATTAGCAGAGTGTCCCACTGAAAGTTTCTCTCTGTTTGCTTGCAGACAGCCAGTCTGATGCGGAGACACTAGCTACAGGAAACGAAGTCTTGGACCTGACCTCCTGCGAGAAGGAACAGCCAGAGGAAATAACAGAGTTACCAGAGAGTGAGTGCGGCCCCAAGGAGGAGCAGAAGGCTGACTCCCCTCCGGCAGAAGAGGATGCCGAAGAAAAAGCGGATGGATATGAAGAGGGCCCTGAGGAAGATTCTGTAAGTAACAAAAGTCTTGACCTCAATTTTGCCAGCAAATTAATGGACTTCAAGCTGGCAGAGAGTGACCAGAGTGCAGGCAGCAGTTCTCAGACTGAAAGGAAACATGCCTGTGACATTTGTGGCAAAACCTTCAAGTTTGCTGGCACTCTTAGCCGTCACAAAAAGGCCCACACTCGTGAGGACAGAAAGGATGAAAGGAGCAGTGAGGATGAAAGCAAAAGCGTTCAGGATGATGCAGGAGCTCCCTCGATGCAGGACTCTGGTCTTGAGCAGGAAGAGTCTCCGATGGACTTGAAGGTAGTGGAGTCTCCTGTGGACTGTGAGGCAACAGGAAAGGAGAATGAAGAGAGCGAAAGCATCTCTGAGGGGGAAGGCACAGAGAGAAAGTCCACTGAGAAGAGCAGTGATGACAAAAAACCAAAGACTGATGGGGCTAAGAGTACTGCAAAAGCAGACAAAAGAAAGAAAGTCTGTACTGTGTGCAACAAGCGTTTCTGGTCTCTGCAAGATCTGACGCGACATATGCGGTCTCATACAGGTAAGAGGAGACTTGAGGGCAGAGCAGATTACAAGCAGGTCTGCCACCAGACTGAGGCATCTGCTCTGTAGGTGCACAATTACTGCTAGCACTTGAGGTTGGAGACACTGGTTTTAGTCCTACAGGTGTCTGCAAGGTGTCTTCTCTGCCCCAATCCCCCATGCTGCATAGAAA